GTTGCCGCTCATTGAATAGTTCGGTCTTACTGACTGCTAGAGAAGAATCGATAATCACAGTGAACAAATAATCATCAGATAGGCCATCAGCAGGAATACCGTCCGCGCTGAAGCAAACCCTGTACAAGTCAGAAATCTGACGAACAAATCAACAAAGCTAGCAATGCGCTTCAATGACCTGTATTAAACAGATCTCACTGTCGACATCCCTTGGTCATTACATATCAAGGAGGATTCTTGACGATTACACACCCGATAGCTTCTTTGCCAAGAACCGTTTCTAACAAAGCAACAAGGTAGTGCATGGTCTTTGCTAAAACTGAGCTAAAAACATTTAGTTCTTCAAATATTTAATAAATAAACCTACCATGAATGCAAAGACCGCCAAACAACAAAAAATAAATATGCCGCGAATACCATCACTGCCTGGGCAACTGCTACTGCTTGATGCTAAATATTGTTAGTGCTTGGTACTTTCGGTACTGAATGATTTTTGTAATGATGATATATAAAAACCCAGCTGCAGCGCACCAGAATAGCCAGCGTGACCATGCGTTTTTGTGCTAAACTTGCAAATCGTTAATAGCAGGAATGGTTGTTGCGCCTTGATCTAACACGTGTAATTATATTGGCTAATGTTATGATTTTTTCCTGCATGCAAAGAGAAAGAGCGTCGGCTAGGACAAAGATATCGCATAGTGGATCAGCATAGACCTCCAGTGTGCTGATTATCTTTTGCGTGAGAACCGGTCATTTTCTCGGTAAACAGTCATTCATCGAAAAAATGCAAATTTGAAGGAAATAGGGAGAGAATTACGGAATCCGTAATATGCACTCGCTTTTGAGCTTGCGATAAGATTGAGTACTTTTCACTCCACGTACGAAATGTGACAATTAATCATTTTTACCTACAAGTTGAATTAAGACATTACGTGAATATTGAATATCCCTGCAAAGATTCAACGCCGCAGCTTGCTCGGTAAGCAAAATAGCCACTTCGCTACAAACACATATAAAGTGCCCTAAGTCCCGGCGCAAGTGCAAATCGAGTTTATGTATACGATTCTCCACATGGACGATAAATATTCTGGCAAATTTCAGTTACTGTTTTCTAATTAGTTTTCGAGTTGGCACTGCGTCAACTACGAAATTTGACGTGACCGTACGCATGGTACAATTGTGCACGATAACTGAATTTGAAATCTTTAGCT